CTCCACTGAGACAGCGTTCCCAGCGGCTGCATCCCACCGTGGCCTGGTACTGACTCTGAATGTGCCTCGCAGGTCCGCCAGGTCCGGCTCTTCCAGGACGAGGAGATCTACAGCGACCTGTACCTGACCGTATGCGAATGGCCCAGCGATGCCTCTAAGGTCATCGTCTTCGGCTTCAAGTGAGACTCGGGTCCTGGGGGAGCCATGGCTGGGTGGGGCTGGGGGTGTGCAATGGGGGCCCCCAGGCGCCGACCAGGCCGCTGAGGGTGTGCCGGCCCCCAGCACCCGCTCAGCTAACGGGATGCTCATGAACATGATGATGATGAGCGATGAGAACCACCGTGACATCTATGTCAGCACCGTGGCCGTGCCACCGCCGGGCCGCTGTGCTGCTTGCCAGGATGCCAGCCGGGCCCACCCAGGTGAGGGGGTGAGGGTGGCCTGTCCCCCTCCCCTCCGCCCCCCTGCTCTGGGCCGAGCGTGAGCTACTGTGGCATGTGTTGTAGGAGACCCGAACGCACAGTGCCTGCGGCATGGCTTTATGCTGCACACCAAGTACCAGGTGGTCTACCCCTTCCCCACCTTCCAGCCTGCCTTCCAGCTCAAGAAGGACCAGGTGGTGCTGCTCAACACCAGCTACTCCCTGGTGGCCTGTGCCGTCTCTGTCCACTCAGCAGGTAGGCCCTGGGGGCTCATGGCAGCCCGGCAGTGCGTGAGGCCAGCCTCTCCCTACCCCACCACACAGACGAGGGACCCCAGGCACAGAGAGGTAGAGCCTGCTCCCCCAGGTCACACAGCCTGGGCGCAGGAATGCAGGGGTCCAAATGTGGCCACGCCCTCCACAGCCCTGCCTGAGGGATCTTTCCCGTGGCTGAGATGTCCCATATCTTCGTTGTCCACCATGGCTGCCTCCAGGAGCCACTTGGAATGTGGCTCATGTGACCGAGGAACCGAGCTTTTGTTACTTTGTTTTTTTTTTTGAGATGGAGTCTTGCTCTGTCATCTAGACTGGAGTACAGAGGCATGATCTCCACTTACTGCAGCCTCCACCTCCCAGGCTCAAGAGATTCTCATGCCTCAGCCTCCCTAATAGCTGGGATTATAGGCACCTGCCATCACACCTGGCTAATTTTTGTATTTTTAGTAGAGACAGGGTTTCACCAAGTTGGTCAGGCTGGTCTCAAACTCCTGACCTCAAGGGATCCACTCACCTCAACCTCCCAAAGTGATGGGATAATAGGGCCCAGCCTGCGATGGATTTCACTGTAGATATGTTGAAGTAACCACAGGCGGCTATCGGCTGCTGTGCTGGAGGGAAGCGCTCTTTTCTCTGAAAAAGAGAAACACTCTTGATACCTCGGGGCGCGGTTAATGGGCAGGCGCTTGCTTTACATCTTTGACGTAGTAAAGATGCCAGTGAAAACCACAAGATGGCCCTTGACAGTGACAGATGTTAAGAGGCTGGATTATGCTACCTGCTGGCAGCAATGGGAGGGAGGGGACGCTAGGGGCCACTTGGCAACAGAATTGTGACTGTGATGGACCCAGCTGCCCTGTGCCCAGGTCTCTCCCACTGGGTCCGTATGTCTAGGGCTGCTCAGGGGGAGCTGGGGGCCAACTGAAGAACCCTCCCTGGGGATTGGGGAGTGAGTTAGAAGGTGGGAGGCATTGGGGGCATCTGTGGAGCAGCAGTGAAGGTCCCTGTGTGTACATCCATGGAGCATGTGTCAGAAGACATCTTAGGCCAGGCACGGTGGCTCATGCCTGTAATCCCAGCACTTTGGGAGGCTGAGGTGGGCGGATCAGCTGAGGTCAGGGAGTTCAAGACCAGCCTGACCAACGTGGAGAAACCCTGACTCTACTAAAAATACAAAATTAGCCGGGCGTGGTGGCGCATTACTGTAATGCCAGCTACTTAGGAGGCTGAGGCAGGAGAATCTCTTAAACCTGGGAGGTGGAGGTTGTGGTGAGCCAAGATTGTGCCATCACACTCCAGCCTGGGCAAAAAGAGTGAAACTCTGTCTCAGGGAAAAAAAAAAAGAAAGAAAGAAAAAGAAGGGCTTGATGCCTGCGTGGTTTACTCACGCCCTGTAATCCCAACACCTTGGGAGGCCGAGGCGGGTGGATCACAAAGTCAGGAGTTCGAGACCAGCTTGACCAACATGGTGAAACGCTGTCTCTACTAAAAATACAAATAGCCGGGCATGGTGGCACACGCCTGTAGTCCCAGCTACTTGGGAGGCTGAGGCAGGCGAATCACTTGAACCAGGAGGCAGAGGTTGCAGTGAGATGAGATCACCACACTGCGCTCCAGCCTGGGCAACAAGAATGAAACTCTGTCTCAAAAAAAATAAAAGGGGGATTTGAATGAACTTCTGCACGCATGTGTGCGTGGTGTGCATGTGCAGAAAGGTCTTTCCCCTTCTGGGTATTTCAGACTGATCTCAGCATAGCCAGGTGTCCTAGAAGTATCTCCTTAAGGTGGGTTTCTGAGAACCTCTGGGGACACTGAGCAAGGCTGGGAGTGCCCCAGACCTGAACAGGTTCACTGACACTTCTCCACCCCCATCTCTTCTTCCAGGTGACAGGAGTTTCTGCCAAATCCTGTATGACCACAGCACCTGCCCCCCAGCGCCTGCCAGCCCCCCTGAGCCCGAGAGCCCAGAGGTGCCCCCTGCCCTCCCCAGCTTCTGCCCTGACACGGCCCCAGCCCGTTCCTCTGGGTCTCCTGAGCCCTCACCCGCCATCGCCAAAGCCAAGGAGTTTGTGGCTGACATCTTTCGCCGGGCCAAAGAGGCCAAGGGCGGGGCCCCTGAGGAAGCCCGGCCTGCCCCGTGCCCAGGACCCTCTGGCAGCCGCTGCCGTGCTCACTCTGAGGCCCTAGCCCTGGGTGGGGAGGCAGCACCCCGGGACAGCCCCTCTGCCTCAGAGGTGCCTGCCCCTGAGCCTGGTTATGTCAATTACACCAAGCTGTACTATGTGCTGGAGTCTGGAGAGGGGACGGAGCCGGAGGATGGTGAGTGGGGAGCAGGCCTGCGGCAGGGCCTGGGATGGGAAGGCCAACCCAGGGGGCCCTGGCCTCCCTCCACCCCACCCCCACTTCCTGCCTCCCCAGAGTTCGAGGACGACAAGATCTCTCTGCCCTTCGTGGTGACCGATCTTCATGGCCGAAACCTGCGGCCCATGCGGGAGCGGACTGCTGTCCAGGTGGGTGCAGGCAGTGGGCAGGCCGAGGGCAGCCCCAGGGAACTGCTGGGGGGTGGTTGGCACTATCCTCTGTGCCTGCCCCCTCACCCACAGGGCCAGTACCTGACAGTGGAGCAGCTCACGCTGGACTTCGAATATGTCATCAATGAGGTCATCCGCCATGATGCCACCTGGGGCCACCAGTTCTGTTCTTTCAGCGACTACGACATAGTCATTCTAGAGGTGGGCCCAGGGCGGGCAAGGTGGGTCTAGGGCCTCCCGTACTCTGGGTCATGCTCAGGAGGAGCTGGTGTTGTCCCCCCCCCCCCCCCCCCCCCCCCCCGCTCCAGGTCTGCCCAGAAACCAACCAGGTCCTCATCAACATTGGCCTGCTGCTCCTGGCCTTCCCGTCTCCCACAGAGGAGGGCCAGCTCCGGTGAGCACAGGGACCCTGCCCTCCTCGTCCACCAGGGGGGCTGCTTGCAGACACTTCAGGGTGGGGGCATGGGGATGGGAGAAGGCTCTCCCTCTGCCACAACCTGGCTGGGCCCCTCCATAGCTGCTCCAAAGACAAAAACCCCTCAAGGTGGCATGGGGCGTGGTTCAGGAGCCAGGCCGTCCCAGCGCTTGACCTCTGTCCCTCTCCACTGCAGACCAAAGACCTATCACACCAGCCTCAAGGTAGCATGGGACCTCAACACAGGCATCTTCGAGACAGTCAGTGTGGGTGACCTCACCGAGGTCAAAGGGCAGACCAGGTGAGGCAGGGCTGGGGGGCAGGGTCGGGGCAGCCAGGCCATGAGAGCCACTCACCCCCTGGCCCCGCAGCGGCAGCGTCTGGAGCTCCTACCGCAAGAGCTGCGTGGACATGGTCATGAAGTGGCTGGTGCCTGAGAGCAGCGGCCGCTATGTGAACAGGATGACCAACGAGGCGCTGCACAAAGGTGGGGCTCAGCAACTCCGCCATGGTCAGTGCCCCCAAAGACACTTGCCCTCAGCCAGGCACTGATTGCTGAGTGCTGATGAAATGGGTGGGAAGGCTGGAATCGGGGTGAGGAGAGGGCGGGCCAGGCCAGGCCAAGCCAGGCCCAGCTCAGGGGCCCTGAAGGTGTCGGGCCTGGGAGCAGGTCACTGCTGCTTGCTGCAGACTAGAGGTGGAGGACAACTCAGCAGGGTCCCTGCCTTCTGGAACCTTCTGGGCCAGAAGCGAATCAGGTGAGGGTGCAGCCTCAGGGCCGGACAGGAGGCTCCATGCCTTGTCCTCACCTGTCCCTGCAGGGTGCTCCCTGAAGGTTTTGGCAGACAGCGAGCGATACACGTGGATCGTGCTGTGAGGGCCGGGCCGCCCTGGACACTGACTCCAACTACCTCCCCGGGTGGCCCGCCGGCCCACCAACCGATGACCGGCACTAGTGTTAGGCTGCGGAACAGGGCTGGGCGGGGCCGCCCCTGGTGGCCTGAGGGTCTGGACACTTTATTTATGCCTATTTAAGTTGGGAAGGGGCCGAGAGAGGGTGCCCCCTGCCCCACCAGCCCGAGTGCCCCCCTTCACCCCGAGCTGGGCATGGGCCTGGCCCCTCATGCATTTGCCCTTTTCCTTGGCTACAGCTGTGGACATTGCCCTCGGGGAGGCCAAATGGACCCGTTTACCCCGCCTTTCCACCTCCAGCCTCCAGCCTCCCCCACCCAAGCCGTCAACCCCCTGGCCATCCCCACTCCGTTCTTAATGTAATAAATGTTTTAATTTCTGAACCTCCTTGAGGCCCTGTAACTGCAGCCCGGAGCCCCCGCCCCAAAGCCTGGCGAGTCAGCAGTAGGCAAATACCACAGCGGAATTTATTGTTTTAAGAAACTACAAAAAGGTAGAAAACAGCTCGGCACACTAGACTACCACACATGTGGACACTCGCCGCCGGGAGAGGGAGCCTGTGGGCTCGGGGACTGGGCAGGGCTGCCCCAAAAGCTGTAGCACGCGGAGCACACAAAATAGTGGTTTTTATACAATAGGTCAGATTGCCTTTTTTTTCTTTTTCTTGCCATAAACATCTATCTCACAGGTTGAAAACACCGAGAAAACTGGAACAGATAAGGCCATGATGGTTGGAAAAAAACCCAACAAGTTACCAACTCCGCTCGGGCGGCGCTCACGAATCGCACAAGTCATGGGGGCAGGGGGTGCACGGCACGGAGGAGCACGGTCTCCGGGAACATAGCACAGAGAAGGTTCCATTACAAACCAGCGGCAGATAGCGGGGCGCGGGGGCTGTGGTGTGTGGGCATTCCCCGGCCCCGTGGCTCTTTGGAAGCTGGAGGCCATGCCCCTGCCGCCTTCCTCCCAGCCAGGCCGGGCAGTGCCCCCTTCTCGGGCTTGGGGGCAAGGGAGGGCCCAGTGCTGGAGCAGATGCGACACCCACGGCTTTAATTGCACTTAATACCAAGAAGGGGAAGCAGTGGGGTTGTGGGACTGGGGCGGGAGTATTGGGGTTGCTGCTGACAGTTGGGGGTCCCCAGGTGACGCCCACCTGCGCCGGCCCGGGGCTCAGGGCTGGGCCCAGGACAGGCTGTGCAAAGCCAGCGAGCTGAATAAGTTAACAGTTACGCATGGGAGGGGGCCTGCCTGCCGGCCCCCTGGGGTGGTGGGAGGATGGGGCTGGGGGGTAAGATGCTGCGGCCTGTGGGGGATGGGGGGGTGGGGCAAGGGGCCGAGCTGGATGCCCAGCGGGGCACCTGGGCACGCGTCGGGTTCCTTAAGGCACGTCTTTTGTGTCAAGAGTTTGCAGCTGCGGCTCCACCCAGCCCGCTGATTGTGCCGGCCCCATGGGGGAGGGGGGCCCCCCCCCCCGACCTTTCCTGTCTCGGAGGCCCCCTCCCTGCCCTGGCAGAGGCTGGAGCGGTGACCACGAAGCCACAGAAGCTGTGAGGGACCCTGGTGTGGAGGGGTGGCGGGGACAGGTAGGATGGGGAGGCCAAGGGTTTAGCTGGATGGCAGCGCCTGCACGAAGAGGCCACGCGGGTCAGTCCGCGCCAGCTTAGCCGGCGGCTCCAGGGCCTCTGGGCCCAGCGCGGGAGACTCGCTACCGGCCGCCAGCGAGATGTCCTGCGGCAGCTCGTCCTCGCTCTCCTCCTCCTCTTCCTCCTCCTCGTCTGGGGGCACAGGGACCAAGTCGGGCTCGGGGTGGGGTAGCGACGTCCCCGGGGCCCCGCGGCTTCCTCCTCCACCCTAGCCCCTCCGTTGTCTGCCACCCCCACGACCCCGCGCCCTGGGTGGGAAGACGCTTCACCTACCTTTGTCGGGGTCCAGGGGATTCAGGGAGGTGGCCAGATTGGCGAACTAGAGGGAAGAGAGAAGAAAAAGGGTGAGGGTCCTGCCGCCTGGCACTCCACTCGCACGGCCCCAGTTCCCTGCTGTGCGCACCTCGCCCATGACGGCGATGGGGGTTTCGCCCTTGGCCTGGGCTACACGGTGCTCGATCAGGTAGTACATGTACTCGTCGTAAAGCAGCCGAATGAGGTGGAAGGAACCGAAGCTGGCCGCGCTACGCAGGGTCAGGTCACGTATCACCATGGAGCTGGGGAGGGCAACGGAGAGAAGACAGTCAGACCCTGCCCCGCCCAACTCCTTGTCCCCTCCTCACCACGATGTGCCCGGCCTCACACCAGCTCAGCGACTCAGCCTGGATCCCGCAGACTTCCCTGGGGCGAACATGGTAGAGAGTCCAGGGCCCCAGCCAGCCCGCCTGCAGGCTCGGGTCTTTGTAGAAGAGTACCTGAGCCCCCCAGGGACGCGGGGACTTCCCTGGTGCCGCCCAGGCCCGATCCCACCGCAAGCGCACCTGTAGAAGGACCACTTGAGGAGGAAGAGTTTGGCGGCCTTGGGGAAGCCGGCGCTGCCCTGGTAGGGCTTGAGCACCTGGCTCACCACACCGTCCAGCCAGGCCGCCCACTGCTCCAGCGAGTTCTGCTGCTGCAGCGTCACCTTGAAGTCCTGCTCCAGCCGCTGCACCACGCGGTCCTCGCAGCGGCACACCCACGAGGCCTGTTCCTGGGACACAGCGGGCGGACGGGCAGGTGCCCGGTGCTCAGCCGCCATCACCCCGGCCTGGAGCGCCCCGCCGGACTGCCCCTCGCTCACCCGCTCCGCCCCGCGCTCACCTGCACATTGGCGAAGTCCACGCGGTTGAGGTCGCTCAGCATCTGATTGATCTGCGCAGTGTTCTGCAGCACAGCGCGTGCTGCCTGCGCCAGGTGGTTGAGAGACGTGTAGCGCCGCAGTGTCTGCGCGAAGGCGCCGGCTGCGGCCACCTGCGTGCAGGGATGGGGGGCTTGCTGCTTCTGAGGAACCCCAGCCCGCCAGCCCTAGCCCCACCTCGCTGCAACCTCTCCAAGCCTGTTTACTTTTTGCTAAAAAGGGAGGGATGTGCCTTGCTACTTCTGTTGGAAGACAGAAGGGTTGGAACCTTCAAACTTTGGGTGTACCCTCACAAGCACCGCCCCTCTCCCCAATTCAATTTATTGTGTTCTGACTAGAGCACAGTATTTAAAAATTTATTATTTTTTAAAAAAATAACAATTGAGACAGGGTCTCGCCATGTTGCCAGACTGGTCTCAAACTTCTGGCTTCAAGTCATCCTCCTGCCTCTGCCTCCCAAACTGTTGGGACTGAGCCACCAGCGGGAAAGAGCCAGTTTTTTTTTTTAGACGGAGTCATGCTCTGTTGCCCAGGCTGGAGTGCAGTGGTGCGATCTCAGCTCACTGCAACCTCAAGTGACTCTCCTGCCTCAGCCTCCTGAGTGAGTGGGATTACGGGTGCCCGCCACCACACCCAGCTGATTTTTGTATTTTTTAAAAACTATTATGCCCTACATATTTGTATGATTTTTGTATTTTTAGTAAAGATGGGTTTTCACCATGTTGACCAGGCTGGTCTCGAACTCCTGACCTCATGATCTGCCTGTCTTGCCTCCCAAAGTGCTGGGATTACAGGCTGAGACACTGCGCCCGTTTTTTTTTTTTTGTTTTTTGTTTTTTTAAGGAAAGTACACAATAGAAAATACGGAGGGCACTGCGGTAGAAAGGGTAAACACTGCTTTGATAAACGTTTCATTTTCTTTTTTCTTTTTTTTTTTGAGACTGAGTCTCAGAAATCTCCCTCTGTCGCCCAGGCTGGAGTGCAGTGACACAATCTCAACTCACTGCAACCTCCGCCTCCCAGGTTCAAGAGATTCTTGTGCCTCCTGAGGAGCTGGGACCACAGGCACACACCACTATGCAAGGCTAATTTTAATATTTTAAGTAGAGATGGGGTTTCACCACGTTGGCCAGGCTGGTCTCGAGTGATCTGACCTCATCATCTGCCCGCCTCGCCTCCCAAAGTGCTGGGATTACGGTGTGAGCCACTGCGCCCCGCCTCGTTTTCTTTCACACTCTGGAATCTCAGCTTGGGAGAGGACAGGGGTTTTGTCCGCCTGGTTCATTGCAGTGTATGAGGAGGCTGGGTGAATACATGAGTGGAGTCTTGCCGGTTCTTCTGATGGGTCTGCTCCTGGTTTGGCGTCTGCTGTCTCCGCAGGCCCGTCTCTGCCCTGTGTCCAGTGGCGGCTTTCTGTTTTATTTTGTGGCCCAAGCACATCCCACCAAACTCCTAACATCTAAGTAGTCAGCAAATGTGCAGTATTGATGAAAACGGCAAGTATTATGTTTCCCTGCAGATGCTGTTGACTTTCTGAAGCGTTATCTATTTCTGTACACCTGAGGCACTTTCTAGCAAGGCTTGTCTGAACAGGGAACTACTGTACATTTGCAGCTGGTTTTTATTTTTTAAAGATGCTGTGTTGAGTACAATAACACCACAAAAAGCCTGCATTTCAGAAGTGGGTGCCGGAGGACACAGGTTTATAAAGATGACATCCAGGGCACTCCCCAAGGCAGAGACTTCCCCTTTCCTGACGGGCAGCATCCCCAAAACAGGCATGGGAACAAATCTCACTGCCATTGGGAGCAGAGGAGAGGAGGCCTGAGCCCCAGAGCTAGGAGGAAGGGACCCTCCACACCCTCACCTTCACCCGAAGCATCTCCTCGGGGATGTTGACCATGGCGTGGGTGAGCCAGCTCTCCAGGCTCTTCGCAAAGTTCCGGATTGCTTGGGTCAAGGCACCTGTGGGTGGAGGCAGTGGGGGGTGGCAGTCAGGGAAGGGTGGGCATGTGGGTGCCGGGGGTGCTGAGGAGGCGGAGCACTCACTGGGGATGGGCCGCAGCACATCAGGGATGAGAATTTCCACCAGGCCCTGGTATAGCACATTGTCACAGTGCTTGGTCCATTGGAGCACGGGCTCGAACTTGGAGAGGAGCACCAGGATGGCTTTGGGCAGCCGCTTCTCGGCCTCGTCATGCCTGTGGGTACCCACCCAACCCCGGGTCACTGGGGCACTCTGTGTTTCTACTCCCAGCGTCAGAAGGCACAGGTACCCCCTTATCCCACCCTGGGTCACTGGAGCACTCCATGGTCCTGTCCCAAGTGCTATAAAGGCACAAGTATACCCTGTCCCCAAGCCAGGGTCACTGGGGCAGTCTGTGGCCCTGACCCCGGTGTCAGAAGCACACAGGTACCCCCATCCTCCACCCAGGGTCAGGTAAGCACCCCCTGCCTCCCAAGGATCTCCAGGGTCCGGCTGGCACAGGCACAAGGGGTGGGATGGGATCCAGGAGTCAAACAGATCCCAGAACCCGCCACTCCAGGGAGGAGATGGTGCCGTGCCCCACGCCTGGGCTTGGTCAGGCACGCCACCCCTGGCCCTGAGCGTCGGGCAGTTACACACACACATTCTACACAGTAAGGGGCATGTGCACCCCACAAACTGCAGGGGACAAGCAGGCGCCCCAACCCTGGGTGTCAAAATCAACTGGGGTCACGCCCTCCTCCCACCTCGCCCTTCCCATGTGCTGGGCAGCACTCACACAGCCAGTGGCGGTGCCTCGCTGGGCTGGCTGAGGTTGTACCTCCAGAAGGTCTTCCACAGCGTCTCCACTAGGGTGAACTGCAGGTTCACCATGACATCGACGATGGCCTGTGGCAGAGGCAGAGGCTCAGGGAGACTGGGGGGCAGTGTGGCCCTCTCATGCCTGTGGCCTCTCCACCGCCCGCTCGCCTGCCCACCTGGCCGCCCTACCTCACAGTGTTCCCGGTACAGGACCTGGAAGGCTTTGATATCCCCGGGTCCAACACCCTCGGGCAGCACCTTGCCCTGGAGGTCGAGCTCTGTGAAGTCAGGGAGGCTCCGAGAGGCATCTGGGGGCCAGAAAAAACCATCAGGCCCTTCATCCTGCCTGCCGGCCCACCCTGGGGTCCTACTGAGTTGTCATCACCTTCCCACCAGGCCGGGGTCCCCCATGTGCCTGTGAGGGATAAGGCATGGTGGGGGGGAAGGGGGGGAAGTGCCTGGCGAGGGGTCCAGGACAGGGAGAACTTGAGAGCCCACGCTCCTCTGGCAGAGAGGAGAGGACAGGAGGGTCTTGTACCAGCCCTGTCTGCTGAGTGGCGGCACTGTACCAGCCCTCAGGACATGGACCTCTGAGTCACGGCTGAAACTCTGCACCCACCTGGCCAGGGAGTGGGTGGCCCCCAGGGTGCAGTCAGGACCACAGGACTCTGCCCCCAAGTGGGGACTAGCCATGGACAGTCACCCTGGGGATGCCCCTCGACTCTGCCAGAAGAATTGTTCTCCACCCTCCCCTAGGTCCCCAGGCACAGATGGGACACGTAGGAGGACCTCGAGACCTCCTGAGCAGATGAGGAAATGAGTTGCTGCGTGCTCAGGATTGAGGATGTGTGGCTGGACTATGGGCTCCAAGGGTTTGCTTGTTTACTTAGCATCCTTTGGCCTTGTTTTCATGGATTTTTACTTTGTCTTTTTCTTTAAAAAAAAAAAAAGGAAGGGATGGATCTTGCTATGTTGCCCAGTCTGGTCTCAAACTCCTGCACAAGCAATTTTTCCTGCCTTGGCCTTCCAAGGCCATGGTCGGGGGGAAGGGGGGGAGTGCCTGGCAAGGGGTCCAGGACAGGGAGAACTTGAGAGCCCATGCTCCTCTGGCAGAGAGGAGAGGACAGGAGGGTCTTGTACCAGCCTTGCCTGTCTGCTGAGTGGCGGCACTGTACCAGCCCTCAGGACATGGACCTCTGAGTCCCGGCTGAAATCCTGCACCCACCTGGCCAGGGTGGCCCCCAGGGTGCAGTCAGGACCACAGGACTCTGCATTTTGGCCTTCCAAAATGCTGGGATTCCACGCATGAGCCACTGTACCCAGCCTTTTTTATTTTCTTGAGACAGAGTTTCACTCACTCTGTCATCCAGGCTGGAGTGTAATGGCCTGATCTTGGCTCACTGCAACCTCCACCTCCCTAGTTCAAGCAGTTCTCCTGCCTCAGCCTCCTGAGTAGCTGGAATTAGAGGCACCCACCACCATGCCTGGCTTATTTTGGTATTTTTAGTAGAGACAGAGTTTCACCATGTTGGCCAGGCTGGTCTCGAACTCTTGACCTCAAGCGATTCCTCCTGCCTCGGCCTCCCCAAGTGCTGGGATTACAGATGTGAGCCACTGCACCTGGCCTCTTTTTTTTTTTTTAAAGCTTACTTTTAGAAACACTGGGTACATGCCTGCCTTCTTGGCGAGTGAGTGGTCCTAGAATGGCACTTGCCCCCTCTCCCTATGGATATCATGGCTGTGGGATAGCTGGATGGGAAAAGGAGTGGCCCTCACAGGACTCACGAAGGAGGAGGACCTGCCTGTCATATCTCTAACAAGTAACCATGACCATCTGGGTAGGATCTGAAATCTCACATAGGCCAGGTGCGGTGGCTCAGGCCTGTAATCCCAGCACTTTGGGAGGCCAAGCAGGGAGAATCACTTGAGGTCAGGAGTTGAAGACCAGCCTGGCCAATGTGGTGAAACCCCATCTCCACTAAAAAATACCAAAATTAGCCGAGCGTGGTGGCACATGCCTATAGTCCCAGCTACTCAGGAGGCTGAGGCAGGAGAATTGCTTGAACCCAGGAGGCGGAGGTTGCAGTGAGCCAGGATGGTGCCATTGCATTCTAGCCTCAGCAACAGAGAGAATCTGTCTCAAAAAATAAGAACAAAAATTAAAAAATAAAATCTCAGTCAGGTGCAGTGGCTCACACCTGCACTTTGGGAGGCCGAGGCAGGCGGATCACGAATTCAGGAGTTCGAGATCAGCCTGACCAACATGGTAAAAACCCGTCTCTACTAAAAATTAAAAAAATTAGCTGTGGGTGGGTGGTGGCAGGTGCCTTGTAATCCCAGCTACTCAGGAGGCTGAGGCAGGAGAAATCGCTTGAACCTGGGAGGCGGAGATTGCAGTGAGCTGAGATCAGGCCATTACACTCCAGCCTGGGTGACAGAGCGAGACTCCCCCTCAAATAAAATAAAATAAAATCTCATGTAGCAAAAAGGGGATTGAGTGGGGAGCTCAAAGCCCCAGAGAAATGCTTTGCATTTAAAGAAATGAGAATCTACCTTGAAGAAAAATTCTGGAGACAGAATTGTCACTGTGGATGGAGACTGTGATGTCTCACGCAACCCCTACTGGTCCTCAGGCATCTCTCACCAAGCCCTCCCCTGGCTCAGAGGCTGCTGGCTGCCACCTGGCTTTGGGAACTGCCTGCACAGGTGGGGGCGGGAGCTCTCACCCAGGAACTGCTGGTACTGCTGCACCTGTGCACTGATGTCCGACAGCCCCGTGCTCTGCTGCTGCCCTACCGCCACGCCGTTGGTCATGCCTTCCATCTTCTGGATGGGCTTGAGCCTGGAGGAGAATGGGCAGGCGGGACAGCTGGGGGATGGCCTGCGTGTCCTTCCCTGCCTGCCCTGCCCCGGGTCCAGCCCTGCCCTCGTACCTCTGCTTCTGCGAGAAGGGCTGGCCCCGCATAGCCATGTGCTGCTGGTCTTCCATCAGCCGCAGCAGGGGTGAGCTGGCCTTGATTCGCAGGCCATAGTAGTGGTACTTGGAGTTGCCCCTGGGAGGAAGGTGGAGGGTAAGGGCTGGGCTGGGGGTCTGCTGGCTGGCAGGGTATGGAGTGCCTCACAGCACACCCATCTCCTCTATTAGGGGCACAGATGGAGAGAGCCCTGCCCTGCAGAGCCGGGGGTGCTGTACTGAAGAGGCACAGGGGCAGCGGGTATCAGTGACTGAATGGGGTGACGCTGAACCTGGAAACAGGAACCAAGAGATGAGCAGGGGGCAGCCATAGGGTTGCAAAGGAAAGGAAGAGAGGGGCAGGTTCATGGGATGGCTCCTGTTCCTTCCCACGTGAATTCACTGATTCACAGCCTCTGATTAAGCACTGACTGGGTTCAACCCCGCATCATCAAGGTAGGAGCATTGCAGACGGACCAGAACATTTGAAATAAGTCATGTAAATGGCACGTGCGGGCTGAGTGTGGTGACTCATGGCTGTAATCCCATCACTTTCGGAGGCCAAGGCAGGTGGATCACTTGAGGACAGGAGTTCGAGACGAGCCTGGTCAACATAGCGAAACCCTGTCTCTGCTAAAAATAATTTTTTTTTTTTAGAGACAGAGTCTCACACTGTCACCCAGGCTGGAGTGCAGTGGTGTGCTCTCAGCTTCACTGCAGCCTCTGCCTCCTGGGTTCAAGCGATTCTCCTGTCTCAGCCTCCTCAGTAGCTGGGATTACAGGTGCCTGCCACCATGCTCGACTAATTTTTTGTGTTTTTAGTAGAGATGGGGTTTCACCATGTTAGCCAGGATGGTCTCAATCTTCTGATCTTGTGATCCGTACATATCGGCCTCCCAAAGTGCTTGAATTACAGGCATCAGCCACCTCACCTGGCTGCTAAAAATATTTTTTGAAAATTAGCTGGGCTAGCCAGGTGCGGTGGCTCATGCCTGTAATCCCAGCACTTTGGGAGGCCGAGGTGGGCAGATCACAAGGTCAGGAGTTTGAGACCAGCCTGGCCAACATAATGAAGCCTCATCTCTACTAAAAATATAAAAATTAGCCAGGCATGGTGGTGCCTGCCTGTGATCCCAGCTACTCAGAAGGCTGAGGCAGGAGAACTGCTTGAACCCAGCGGGTGGAGGTTACAGTGAACCAAGATCAAACCGCTGCACTCCAGCCTGGGCGACAGAGTAAGACTCCATCTCAAAAAAAAAAAAAAAAAAATTAGCTGGGCATGGTTGTGCATTGCTTGTAAGTCCCAAGCTACTCAAGATGCTGAAGCTACTCCAGAGAATTGCTTGAACCCGGGGGGAGCAGATGTTTTGGTGAGCCGAGATTGAGTCACTGCACTCCAGCCTGGATCACAGAGTGAGACTGTCTCCCCCCAAAAAAAAAAAAAAAAAAAAATGCAGGTGTGAGGGTGCTCATGGCTAAGGGGCAAAATGAAGCAGGGTTGGGGGTGACAGGCGGGGGACAGAGGAAGGCTGCAGTTTTAGTTGAGGCCGCCAGGGGGTGTGTGAGTAGGATGGGGTAGAAGCACATGAGGTGGAAGGTACCGCCAGTGCAAAGGCCCTGGGGTGGGAGTCAGCGGGTGTGTCGAGGAGTCTTGTGGAGGCGGTGGGGATGGGCTGGGCTGGGCTGGAGTGCCAGAGATGACCTGGAGTGGGGGTGGTTCTCATTGTGCCCCCCGATTCCCCAGGGGCACCACCCCTACCTGGTGCCCAGACGGCGGGTTCGCAGGCCCATGAAGACGGAGCGGATGAGCTTGCCGAAGGAGGCGGCGTTGACGGGCTCCAGCTTCTGCTCCTGGCAGTGCAGAAGGTAGTGGCAGTAGAGGGTGCTCCGTGGCAGACTCACGCCCTCGGCCGTCTCATAGTTGTCCAAGAGCCACTGGACCTGGGGCCGGAGGGAGATGGGAGAGCACCAGTCAGAGGTGCTTCCGCCATCTCTGAGTGCTGTGGCTGAGTTCCCTGTATCGACTTCCAGCTGGGATCCTGACAGCCACGCTCACCAGAAGTTAGCACATCCTACTGCCATCCTCCCCAGGAACTACGTCCCACAGAACTCTCCAGAACTGCACTGTTCTATACACTTGCCACGTGCAGCTAGTTAAAAACATTAAGGGACGGGCACAGTGGCTTGCCCCTTATAGTTCCAGCACTTTGAGAGGCTAAGGTGGGAGGATCACTTGAGCCCACCCTGGGGAACATAGGGAGACCTGGTCTCTACCAAAGAATTTAAAAAAAAATTAGCCAGTGTCAGCCAGGCACAGTGGCTCATGCCAGTAATCCCAGCACTTTGGAAGGCTGAGACACGTGGATCACTTGAGGTCAGGAGCTCGAAACCAGCCTGGTGACCATGGAGAAACCCTGTCTCTACTAAAAATACAAAAAAAAAAAAAAAAAAATGAGCCAGGTGCAATGGCACATGCCTGTAGTCCCAGCTACTCAGGAGGCTGAGGCAGGAGAATTGCTTGAAACTAGGAGGCAGAGGTTGCAGTGAACCGAGATTTTGCTACTGCAAGACTACAACAAAAGCGAGACTCTGTTTTAAAAAAGAAATTAGCCAGTGTTGTGGTGCGTGCCTGCAGTCCCAGCTATTTGGGAGGCTGAGGCAGGAGGATCCCTTCAGCTCAGAAGTTGAAGGCTGCAGTGAGCTATGATCAAGCCACTGCATTTCAGCCTGGGTAGCAGTCAGACCTTGTCTCAAAAAAAAAAAAAAAAATATATATATATATATATATATATATATATATATATGCAGAGTAAAAAAAAGCAAATCTTCAAGCCAGGAGCCGATGACTCGCACCTGTAATCCCAGCACTTTGGGAGGCTGAGGTGGGTGGATCACCTGAAGTCAGAAGTTAGAGACCAGCCTGGCCAACATGGTGAAACACCATCTCTACTAAAAATACAAAAAATTAGACTGGTGTGTGGCAGGCACCTGTAGTCCCAGCCTCTTGGGAGGCTGAGGCAGGAGAACGTCTTGAACCTGGGAGGCAGAGGTTGCAGTGAGCCAAGACCACACCACTGCACTCCAGCCTGGGCAACAGAGTGAGACTCTGTTTCAAAAAAAAAAGAAATTAGCTGGGTGTGGTGATCGGCACCTGTAATTGTAGCTACTCTGGAGGCTGAGGCACAAAAATTGCTTGAACCTGGGAGGTGGGGAGGTTACAGTGAGCTGGGATTGCACCACTGCACTCCAGCCTAGGTGACAAGAGCGAAACTCCATCTCCAAAAAAGAAAAGAAAAAAAAAAGACTAGAATAGACAGAAGCCAGGCTACATCAGGGCCAAGAGGGACCGCCAGGACCACCAGCACTGAGTCACCCCACGGTCACACAATTGTCGAGTGGCCCAGTTGGGGCTGGAATTTAGGGCTGCCCCAGGGACTTCATGCAGCCACTTCTCGGCACAGGAAGTTCCAGTACCGCCCTTCCAGACAGCGGAAGAACCTTGTTCTGGAAGCTCCATATGGCAGTGCTGGCTTCTCCCTCATTATCTATTCTCTATCAGCAATTTTAATCGGAATAATCCCAGCACTTTGGGAGGCCAAAGTGGGAGGATCGCCTGAGGCCGGGATTTTGAGACCAGCGTAGGCAACAGAGTGAGATCCTGTCTCTATAAAAATTTTTTTAAAAATTGAAACCAGGCATGGTGGCTCATGCCTGTAATCCCAGCACTATGGGAGGCAGAGGTGGGTGGATCACAAGGTTAAGAGATTGAGGCCATCCTGGCCAACGTGGCAAAACCTCGTCTCTACTAAAACTACAAAACTAGCTGGGTGTGGTGGCAAGTGCCTGTAGTCCCAGCTACTTGGGAGGCTGAGGCAAGAGAATCGCTTGAACACAGGAGGTGGAGGTTGCAGTGAGCCGAGATCGTGCACTGCATCTCAGCCTGGCAAGAGAGCGAGACTCCATCTCAAAAAAAAAAAAAAAAAAATTAGCCAGGCATGGTGGTGCATGCCTGTAGTCCCAGCTACTTGGGAGGGGAAGCTGGGAGGATCACTTGAGCCTGGGAGTTTGAGGCTGCACTGCGCTATGATTATACCACTCCAGCCTGGGTGACAGAGCAAAACTCTGTCTCAAAAAAAAAAAGAAAAGAAAAGAATAAAAAGAATAGACAACATTTATTTTCTTTTAGAGCCAGAGTCTTGCTCTGTCTCCCAGGCTGGAGTGTGGTGGCACAATCTTGGCTCACTGCAACCTCTGCCTCCCGGGTTGAAGCGATTCTCGTGCCTCAGCCTCCTGAGTAGCTAGGATTATAGGCACTCACCATCATTCCTGGCTAATTTTTGTATTTTTAGTACAGATGGAGTTTCACCATGTTGGCCAGGCTGGTCTTGAACTTCTGACCTCAGCTCATCCACCCACCTCAGCCTCCCAAAGTCCTGGGATTACAGGTGTGAGCCACTGTGCCCAGCCAACTGTGGTACTGTTCTAAGAACTTCATGCTGAGGCCCAGAGAAATTACTTCATGCTGAGTAATTTATCTGAGGCCACACAGCATTCAAACCCAGGACATCTGCATATGTGCTCATCGGGGGGTACACAGACTCCTGCTAACAGTGGCTGGCTGCGCCCTCATGGACTGGGCTTCAAGTGCCCACCACCCACCACCACCTGTCTCCTCTGGGGACCAGGCTGGGGCACTTACCGTGGCTGGCGAGGCACGGGTGGTGTGGGAGTAAGACTGGCTGGCACTGCCCAGCATGTAGCCACCTTGGATCACGTAGGTGCCTGCTCCGCTGCTGCCGCCTCCGGTGCTGCCACTGCCACCCCCGCCACCACCTCCCCCGCCGCTGCTGCCACCGCCACTGCCACCACCTCCGCTGCTGTTGCTGGCCCCAGCCCCAGTGCTGGTAGAGCTGGCGACGACCTGGCTGCCAGACACGTACATGGGCATGGAGCCGCTGCTGGCCACAGCCTGGGAGGTGGCAGGGGTGCTGACCTGGGCGGCCGTGCCTGCGGTCTCATAGTAGCTGGTGCTTGCCGTCTGTGTGTACAGCGGTGTCTCAGGGTAGGAGTAGGTGCTGGAACGGCTGGGAAAGAGGCAAAGCCGGAGGACAGTCAGGGGCATGAGAACTGGGGGGGCTGACGGGCATGACTGTGCAGGAAGGGGTGTTGCCAGGAGGGGACTGGGGAAGCAGCAGCTCCCCCACAGCCAGGACCAGATCCTAGCATTCACCTACAATGGACTGGATACCATCCTGAGTGTCTGATGGGCAATATTTCATACAATCGCCAAAGCAGCCAGTCCTCTGGCAGTGCAGTCACCTTCTCCACTTGGGAAATCAGGAAATCGGGATAGAAGGACTAGGGAACTTGGCCGGGCATGGCGGCTCCTGCCTGTAGTCTTTGGAAGCAGAGGCAGGAGGTTCACTGGAGGCCAGAAGTTTAAGACTAGCCTAAGCTATATAGTGAGACCCTATCTCTACAAAAAATGTAACAATTAGCCAGGGGTGGTGGTGTACACCTGCAATCCCAGCTACTTGGGAGGCTGAGGCAGGAAGATCCCTTGAGTCCAGGAGTTCGAGGCTGTAGTGAGCTATAGCCATGCCACCACTGCACTGAAGCCTATGTGACAGCAAAACCCTGGCTTTAAATTTTTATTCTATTTATTTATTTATTTATTTATTTATTTATTGAGCCAGGCTGGAGTGCAGCGGCCTGATCTTGACTCACTGCAACCCCTACCTCTAGGGTTCAAGCGATCCTCCTGCCTCAGCCTCTGGAAGTGTTGGAACTATGGGTGCACACCACCACACCCAGCTAAATTTTGTATTTTTTTTTAGTAGAGTCGGGGTTTCACCATGTTGGCGGGGCTGGTCTTGAATTCCTGACCCCAAGTGATCTACCCACTTGTCTCCCACAGTGCTGGGATTACAGGCGTGAGGCACCACACCTGGATGACCCTGCCTTTAAAAAAAAAAAATACGGAAGGGGTAGGGAACTTGCAATGTTACCTACTTCATTATAAAAGTAAAACTGGCGAGTGCTTCGAGTGCCGACTGTGTGCCAGGCACTGTTCTGCGCACTTTGGACCTACTGTGTGCCAGGCACTGTTCTGCGCACTTTGGACCGACTGTGTGCCAGGCACTGTTCTGCGCACTTTGGACATGGCGATGGACGAGAATGAGAAGGCCCTGCCCCTGGGGGAGCTGAGGTCTAGCTGGGAGACAGGCAAGAAGCCACGTGCAACAGTAAGTTAGAGATCATACAGAAGGCGACGCGGCGAGTGAAGCAGGAAGGGGGCAGGGCTGGAGAAGGTGACGCTGTGATTGGAGGGGACTAGATTGGAAGAGACCATGAAGAATGCAGACATGTTTCCCCTGAGCCAAGCTACACATTCAGGCTGGTGAATTCTCTCTCATTCAGCTATCCAGGGACAGAATGGGCACCGGGAGACAGACTTGAGGCTGCAAATCGTCACAACATAAAAACCACCAGGAATTCAACCTCAAGGGGCTGTTAAATAAAAGATGATGGAATCCTACGCAGGGGTGAAGGAGGAGGCAGGGGTTGCGGTCCTTCCAAAGAAGAAGTTCCAGAACCGACCACTGGGCAGATAAAAGGAGAGAAGGGTGGGGACGGTGTGACTGAAAGACAGGGAAGACTGTCGTGTTTCGTGTGCATGTCTGCATGTCTGTCATCTGTGGGCATGGAGGGCTCAGCGGACAGGAGACAGGCGGGGGGTCACCTCTCACCATCTCATAAACGTCCTTAAACGTAGTTTTGATTTTTGAACTCTGTCAATGTATTAGTGATTAAACGCATAGCATTAAGCCAGGTGCAGTGGCTCACACCTGTCATCCCAACACTCTGGAAGGCTGAGGTGCGTGGATCACTTGAGGTCAGGAGTTCAAGACCAGCCTGGCCAACATGGTGAAATGGTGAAACCCTGTCTCTACTGAAAAATACAAACAATTAAAAAAAAAAAAAAAAAGCCAGGCATGGAGGTTCACACCTGTAATCCCAGCACTTTGAGAGGCCAAGGCAGGCAGATCACCTGAGGTCAGGAGTTCAAGACCAGCCAGGCCAACATGGTGAAACCCTGTCTCTATTTTTTTTTTTTAAATAAATAAATACAAAATACAAAAAATTAGCCAGGTGTGGTGGCGCGTGCCTGTAATCCCAGCTACTTGGGAGGCTGAGGCGGGAGAATCGCTTGAACCCTGAAGGCAGAGGTTGCAGTGAGCAGAGATTGTGCCAAGCTGGGGCAATAGAGCAAAACTCCATCTCAAAAAAAAATTTTTTTTTAACATCCAGAAAGACAGTGAGGTCAGTCAAGAGGTGACCTGGCTCAGACTCTGAAAGTGGCAAGGGACGGAGCTCTGCAGACCTAAGTGGTTGTGGGTGGACAAGGAGAGGGAGCTGAGGAGGACAGTGGAAGGAGATATGGAAGTATGGTCTTTGTCAGACACCAGGTCCAACTCTCAATCTCTCTGTCCTGCCCTATGTCTACCACACAAAGTGACACCAAGAGCACATGAGCTGAACAAGTGCCCCCATTTCTCCAAGGCAGAGGCTGCAGCCTGCTCACCCCTGCACACCCAGCATGTGATACGTGCTGCAAAAATGTTGCTTTGGTTGATGGTTGCTGATTGACTCAATAAATGAACGTGTGTGGCTCTGGATGCTCCCCAGAACAGAATCGAGGGAGGCCCAAGGGCTGTGGCTCTGGCCAGGGTGGGGATCAGGCTGGCAAAGAGTCAGGAACTCAGCAGTAATTCCCTCAGAGGGAGAAACAGGAGTGGACAGTTGACAGGAGGAGTGGCCCCCAACAACTTGACATAGCAGAAAAACCACACAGCTCAGAGGAGCTCAGAGGAGCAAAGGAGACAGGAGAGGCTCTCCCAGGGATGCCAGCAGGAGCCCTCAGACACTGGTCTCCTCTTTGCAACACTCTGTCTGGCCCTTGCCAGCTTGGGTCAACCACACAGTGAAAAGATTAGCAGCACTGGAAATAAACGGATGGAACTGTAAGGCAGCCGGATGGTGGGGACCACGCCTCACAATTCAGGACCATGCCCCGGGGGTCAGTCAGAGCCTCATGACCTTAGGACTCAGTCAGTCCACGAGCTAACCAATCCCAGCGTTGTCCCCAGAACAAGTGGCAAGGACAAAAAAAGAAATCATGCAAATGCAAAGAAAACCAAGTGAAACTTCTGGAAACTAAACCAACAGGAATTACAGTGCAGCAGTGATTGCTGTGGAGATGGGAGAGGGAAGGTGGCAGGGAGGACCCCCAGCGAGGAGCCAGAGCTGGGGCTGAAGCAGGGCCAGGATGTGGCACCTGCCTGACGTGGCACCTGTCTGACGTGGCCCACACACTGAAATGGTAGTGCTGCACGCAGGGAGGGGAAGTCCCCTACGTGCCACTGGGTGGGGACTGACAACATCGTGGCTGCTGCATCCACACAGGATTATTACACAGCAGCTAAGAGGGTGGCCGGGACCCACGAGGACACGTGGGAGAAGAGCCAGGAAAGAAACAAGGTATGGATGGAATGCCTGCCTCTATTTCTGACCAAAGAAAGGGGGTAGAGGCCGGGCACGGTGGCTCATGTCTGTAATGCCAGCACTTTGGGAGGCCAAGAGGGGAAAATCACGTGAGTCCAAGAGTTTGAGATGAGCCTGGGCAACATGGCAAAACCCCATCGCTACAAAAATACAAAAATTAGCTGAGCATGGAGGTGCACACCTGTAGTCCCAGCTACCAGGGAGGCTGAGATCAGAGGATCACTTGAGCCCATAAGCTGCAGTGAGCCGTGATCGCACCACCGTACTCTGGCCTAGGTGACGAAGTGAGACCCTGTCGCAAAAAAAGAAAAAAAAAAGAAAAAACAATGGGTAGAGGAGTAGAGTTTCTATTCTTAGAGTATCACTGGAAGGAAACAAAGAAATGGGTCACAGCATCCCCTCTGGGACAGGGTTGGAAGTCAAGTAATTTTTTTTTTTTTGAGACAGAATCTCGCTGTCACCAGGCTGCAGTGCAGTGGCATAATCTCAGCTCACTGCAACTTCCACCTCCCAGGTTCAAGTGATTCTCCTGCCTCAGCCTCACAAGTAGCTGGGATTACACGTACCTGCCACCATGCCCATCTAATTTTTGTATTTTTAGTCAAGACGGAATTTCACCATGGTGGCCAGGCTGGTCTTGAACTCCTGACCTCAAGTGATCCACCCACTGAGGCCTCCCAAAGTGCTAGAATTACACACGTGAGTTATCATGTGGGGCCTTTTTTGTTGTTGTTAAAAACCAGGCTCATATGACTCCCAAGCCATAAGCTATGCCAGGGACCCTAACCTTTGAGGGACCCTCTGCTTTGCCATTTTTCCTGGCTGTGGCTGCCCCTGGGGAGTGCCACCTGAGTGTCTGTCTCCTGAGGCCTTTAAGGCCAGCTGGCCTGCTGGGGGCTGGGACTGGGGCCTGCTGTCCTGGGAGCCTGGGGAAGGTCCAGTGCAGACCTGAGACCCTCACCCACCCCTCTCCCCTCACTTACATGGCACTGGCCGTGTAGCTGGCGTCACCGCCCTCCACATACTGCACCTGGCTGGAGTACACGTGTGGGACAGGCACCTGCTGGAGCTGCTGCACCTGGGGCAGAGAAGGGCACATGGAGGGTCAAGGTGGGCCAGCTCCTCCCGTTCCACCTCTAAAGGGCTGGTGCCCACCCAGGCTCTCCCTGACACCCAGCTCCCAGACTCAAGGACAGCTTCTGGGCTCTGAACAAAACGCCCTGGAGGAGGCCTGGGGTCAGAGGCCCAGGGGCTGCTGCCTGCACCAGGGCTGGGGATCAGGAAGGGCTATTTCAGGAGCAGAAGCCAGGACTCTCGGCTTCGGCTGGGGCCAGCAAGGGGTGGGGCATGACGGGCAGTGGAGTGGATGCGAGACAGGGTCCTGCAGTGGGCGTTAAGGTTGGACCCCAGGCACAGGGGCAAGGCTGTTGATGCAGCCAGAACCCGCAGCTACAGAAAGGGCCTCAGGGGCGGGGCCTGGAAACCGGGCAATGTATGTAAGGGGCGGAGCCTGGGGCCCCGGTTGGTGGGAAACAACCTGGAATCACTGACAGGCCTTTAGGGGCGGGGCCTGAGTCCCCCACCTCCATCCCCCAACCCGCATCTGCAGGGGCGGAGCTGGGACCAGGACAGGGCTTGGGTAGGGAATCAGAGGCGGGTCCCCAGACCGACCCGTCGGGCGGAGGTGGGGTCTACAGGGCTTGCGGGGCCTGATGGGCGGCCCAGACTGGGCGCCCCCGCCCCTGCCCGCCCGCTGCCCCCCGTCCGTGCGTCCGCCACCTACTTTGAGGGCCGTGGCGGCCGTGCCGAACACTAGCACCTGGGGGATTCTCTGGATCCTGACCCTCTGGTCGGGGCTGGCTCGGGCCGGGAGCCGGGGCAGTGGCTCGAAGACCACTTTCTGCTGCGGCAGGAGCAGGTGCGGGGGCAGCACGCCCACCAGCTCCACCCACTGCTCGATGCCCGGCTCGTAATAGGGCGGCGGCAGCTCGGGGCTGCCTAGCTGCTGGGCCTCGCCGCTGCACACGGGCGGCCGGGGCGGCGGCTCCGGCGGCGGCGTGGGCCGGGGATCTCGCTGCTCTGCCTTCCTAGCGGGAAACTGACTGCCTGAGCTCTGGAGGACAAACAGAGACACTGGTGGGTCAACAGGGGCGGCCGCGGGTGGGGCTCCAGGCCTCCACCCACCGGGTTGCTGAGCGCGCACGCAGCCACCCGAGGGAAGATCCCCGCCGCCCGGGGTCTCGGAGACGGGAAGAACTGACCCAGGCCCACGCAAGAATGAAGCGGGATTCAAATCCAGACCTCTCTTAGCAAAACCCGGGCCCTGAGCTGCCAGGGGGCCGGGAAAGGGGAAGGATCTAGGGCAGGGTCTGCAGCTCACAGAGGCATTTCCCTCCCTGCGGCCTCAGGGGCCTGCACTCCCCAGCCCCAGCCCCAGCCCGGGACCAGCCTGTTTGTCCCTGGGGTAGGAGTGGGACACACACCTCTTGAGCCACGTGGACTGGCTGGAGGCCCTGCACGGTCAGTGGCTGCACCGGGCCGGCCTTGGGCGCTTGTGGAGTGGCCTGGACCACAGACCTCTGGAAAGGGAAAGGGAACGTTAAGATGACCATGGGAACAATGGCTGTCAACCCGCCCAGCCCCTGCACAGGTGAGCTTCTGTAACCTCACAGCAGCCTGGTAAGCAAGATGCTGCCATTCTCCAGCCAAACAGGGCATGGATTTGAGGGCAGGATCCCCTCCTGAAACCCTTCCTGGAATGAGCCAGGACGTGGCACTGGGGCTTCCTTCAGGCAAATGGGCCCAAAGAGGCCAAGGTGGTTTCTCCCAGCAGTTCCCTTGGCCCACGATGCCTCAAGTTCAAATTTCAGGCTCCCCACGGCATCCCCATCCTCCAGCCCCAGATTGCCGAATCTGGAGACAGGCAGAGACGCTTATCAAAGGCCTGGGTGGCAGGCCGGGGCTGGGCTCTAATAGGCCAGAGGCACAGCCGTGCGGGGCTACAGAGGCTGCCTGGCCGGGACCCCTGGTCTGAGCTGCTGCCCGCCTTGGCTTGGCACCTCTTGGGTGACGGGGACGCTCTGCTGGACACTGTGGACCTGCAGCTGCTGTGGCACTGTACCCGTGGGGGCCCCGGCTGTCTTGCTGGAAGAGCTGGTGGCCTGCACCGGCGACTGCTGTAAGGGAGGAGAGACAGGAGTGTACTGGGGTAGGCTTGCATCCTCTCTGGGGCACCCGGGCCCTCATACACCCTTCTCAGGAGAGCTGACCGCGGAGGGTCCTGTCCTAAGCACCTGTCGCAATTACCAACCACCCAGGCTGGTAACTGACCACATCCCATGCATCCAAATGCCTAATTCCTGCAATAGCCCCAGTCAACTCCTGGCAACGACTGGGGTTTCACCCTCCCCAGCAAGGATGGCTGATGGTAGGTGGTGCCTGCCACACCCCTGAAGCTCTCCTGGGGCTGCTCCTCATTTATGACAATGACAGCAGCAGCCTCCGGTGTGATACTGGGCTGACTCCTACCAGACACTGGCTGAGCTTTAAATGTACTCTCTGGAATCTCACGGCACTCCCACTTCCCAATGGAGGCACAGAGGGGAAGGCACAAGTCCCAGGTGACATGGCTGCAGGCGGTGAGGCCCAGGACTGGGCCCAGACAGGCTGGCCATGGAGCCCTGTGTTGGCTCTGAGCCCTGCCGTGCCTCAGGCTGTAATTCTCACAGCAAACTGAGGGGCAGTTTATACAATCAGCTGTTTGACACAGAGAAAACTTGGAGCTCAGAAGGCTCAAAGGGGCCAGGCGCCGTGGCTCACACCGGAAATCCCAGCATTTTGGGAGGCCAAGGTGGGCAGATCACCTGAGGAGGTCAGGAGTTCAAGACCAGCCTGGCCAACATGGTGAAACCCTGTCTCTACAAAAAATACAAAAACTAGCCAAGCGTGGTGGTGGTGGACGTCTGCAATCCCAGCTACTCAGGAGGCTGAGGCAGAAGAATCACTTGAACCCAGGAGCTGGAGGTTGCAGTGGGCTGACATAGCGCCACTGTACTCCAGCCTGGGCAACAGAGCAAGATTCTGTCCAAAAAAAACACAAAAAACAAAAACCAAAAACTAAAAGGCTCACAGGCCTGCCCAGAGTCCCAGAAGAGGAAGCAAGTGGGCTGGGCCAGCCATCTGACCCTGAGCTCCTGATGCAGACAACGCCCACAGCCTGCCTCCAAAACCCTCTGGTGTTTTTAGGTCCCCAGAATCTACCCTGAGGTCTGAGGCTTCGTAGTAGAGACTCTCCCCCTGTGGAGGGAAGAAGAACCTGCTTTGTTTCCTGGAATGCAGTTCCCTGAGCTGGAGCTGCCAGGGTCATCTCAACCCAGGAAGTCACCTGCTCCTCCCAGAGCAGAGCTCCACGGCCACTTAGCTCAGAGCTGGCAGGGCCAGGAACTGGGCAGCCAAGCCACCCTACCTGGGGTCCACAAGGGCATCACCCTGGGAGTGGAGAGGATGCAGAATTTTGAAGGAGCAAATGGGCTGCGGGGGCAGGAAGCCCCAAATATACTATGGGGGTACACTGCTGACCTGGGGAGACAGCACTGGGGAGGGCGGCTGACAGGGCCACCACTTACCTCTGGGGGCGAGTGCACCTGCTGGGTGCTGTGGACCGTCAGGGAGACCTGGCCGCCTTTGCTGCCTGGGGCTGCACTCTGCACCACCAGACGCTGCGTGGGGAGAGCCTGGACCCAGGGAGGGAGAGGGAGGCGGATCACTCATGACAGCCAGCGCAGTTGCACCGAGCCATGTGCACAGTGCCAGCTCATGCTGTAAGTGCATCACACCTGTTAGCTCACAGAACCCCGACAGCCCCAATGCAGCTCAGCTGCTGCCCCCACTTCACAGAGGGTGACACCAGGCTCAGGACGGCAAAGGCGCTTATCTGAGGTCCTAGAGCCAGGAAGCGGCAGAGCTGGAGTTGTCATCGGGCCACGTGGAATGTGCTGTCATCCTTAAAACCTGACAGTACTAGGCTGGGCATGGTGGCTCATGCCTGTAATCCCAGCACTTTGGGAGGCTGAGGCTGGTGGATCACTAGAGGTCAGGAGTTTGAGTCCAGCCCGGCCAACATAGTGAAACCCCGTCTTTACTAATAATACATAAATTAGCCAGGCATGATGGCACATGCCTGTAATCCCAACTACTCGGGAGGCTGAGACAGGAGAATTACTTGAACCCCAGAGGCGGAGGTTGCAGTGAGCCAACATTGCACCATTGCACTTCAGCCTGGGTGAGACTCTGTCTTAAAAAAAAACAAACAAAAAAAACTTGACAGTACTTTGTCCAGTTCTGCGCTGATCAATCGGAAATGGGTGAGCGCTGTACCCCATCTGCGGCCTTCTTGGGGACAGACCACCCTGCGCTGGCTATGGACTCCTAACTCTAAACCTGGCTTGGGTTCTCTGCTTCGGGACACTGGGCTGGACCCGAAAATCACCTTCCCAGCTACACATCCTGTTGTCTCTGCTTAGATGGCCCCTACCTGATAGTCTCACCCTGGGGAGGTGACTGCCTAGAGCCAGGAGGTAGGGCAGCCCCAGGAGTGGGCCTCTTCCCTCGATCCTGGTGAGGACAGATCCAGGCTTGTCATAGGGGTTGTTCCTCCACCCTGAGGGAGCCTTCCAGGGTGGGGCCAGGTGCAGTGGCCTTACCTGCTGGGGCACTTGGATGTTGGTCAGCTGGAGGGGCGACACATGGCCCGGCTTGGCCTGCACACTCGTCTGGACCAGCAGTCGCTGTGGGGACAAGGCAGGAGCTGAGCCACTGCTTCCCCAGGGAGGCCTGGAGTGGTGAGTGGAGGGTGGCTGCCGTGCACACCTTGATAAGAACAGGTGAGCAGATGGCTCTGGCAGGAAGCAGGGAGGGGAGGCCAGGCCCCCGAGGCCGCAGCCTGCACTGCCACCCTCACTGGCCCTCCCCCGCCCCCGGGAGGGCCACATCATACCTGCTGGGTGCCCTGCACCTGCTGAACCACCTGAGTAGGGACGCCGGTCTGGCTGGCTGTAGAGCCAGGGCTGGCCTCCGACACCGTCTCACTGGCCCGCATGGCACCTTCTGTAGGAAGGGGCCACCAGGTCAGCTCTTCCTGCTGTGCCCACCCCCAGCCTAAGCCTGAGCCCACCTGGAGAGAAAGATGAAGCCTGAAGCCAGCCCCCAGCAAGGTCAGGCCCCTTCAGGAGTCCACTCCAGAGTCCTGGCAATGCTGGAAGAACCGAGGCGCTGGGGCCACCTTCGCTGGGGTGACCCCAGGCTTCCTGGGAGTGGAAGCTGCTGAGAGGAGTGCTCCCTAGAAGGTCTTCCTAGCCTGTAGCCAAGTCCTCCCTCCCTGCCCCCGTCCTCAGTGGGGTGGGACCACAGGGGCTAGGAGTCGGGGAGGCGGGTACTCACGCTGGCAGGCAGCTGAGAAGAGACAATCATAGAACATGGTGCTTGTCCCGCCCGCCCCGCCTGCGCCCTGTCCATCCAGGGGGGCCTGCCTGGCCCTCTTTGCTCCTGGCCTGACTCTACAGAACAGCAGGGTGTACAGGCGGCTTTATACCCGCAACCTTGGGGAGCTAATCCCCCCTGGTGGAGGCAGAGAGCCTGCCTGCCCTCTTGGGATAAACACTCCCCTCCCCAGCAGGGCGGGACCTTCAAGGGGCTGGGGCAGTGCTGCAGGGTGAGGAGGGAGGTTGGTACCCAGAGACACTATCGGGCAGGCACAGGTCAAATTTCATGCACATCTTGCTGAGTGACTAGCAGGAAAGCTGGGGGAACAGGGGAGCGTCCCTAAGAGGCGCTGGCTAGAAGACCCTCACCCCAGCTGGGACGCCATCCATCCTGTCCCCTCCATGTGGCCCGGCCTACCCCCAGCAGCTCCAGAGGCCGGGGTGGCGCTGGGGGTGAACATTTATATGTCCTTCCTCCACCGCCAAGGAGCCAAGGTCCCAGGCCCACCTCTCTTGGAAATGTAGAGGGGTTTATCCAACCCCCCTGGCAGGACTGAAGAGCCATGGGCCAGGAGTGATCACTGCAGAGACTAGTGTTGCTTCTGGCACACCAGGTGTTGTGCTAGGGGCTCTCCCTGGACAGCCAGATACAATAAGAGCTTTTTTTTTTGAGACAGGGTCTCGCTCTGTTACCCAGGCTGGAGTATATCTTCTGGGGTTCAAGTAATTCTCCTGCCTCAGCCGCCAAGCCGCTGGGACTACAGGCACGTACCACCATGCCTGGCTGATTTTTGTATTTTTAGTAGAGATGGGAGTCCTGCTATATTGCCCAGGCTGGTCTTGAACTCCCAGACTCAAGCAATCTACCTGCCTCCATCTCCCAAAGTGCTGGGGTTATAGGCGTGAGCCACTGCGTCCGGCTGACAGTAATAGCTTTCCCCCCCTTTATTTTTTTTGAGACAGGGTCTTGCTCTGTTGCCAGGCTAGCGTACAGTGGTGCAATCTCGGCTCACTGAAACCTCTGCCTCCCGGTTCAAGCGTTTCTCCTGCCTCAGTCTCCCTAATACCTGGGACTACAGGCACATACCACCACGCTGGGCTAAGTTTTGTGGTTTTAGTAGAGCCAGGGTTTTGCCATGTCGGCCAGGCTGCTCTTGAACTCCTGGCTTCATGTGATCCGCCCACCTTGGCCTCTCAAAGTGCTGGGATTACAAATGTGAGCCACTGCACCTGGCTGACAGTAAGAGCTTTAATTACCCATTTTCAGACAAGGCAACAGAGACCAGAAGCAAGAAAGTGATTTGTCCAAGGTCAAATGCACCATCCATCATGCAGGCCACGACACAGGTTCCCCTCTGGCCCTACATGAACCTCATCCCACACATGGAACCTGGAGTCACTGGTCCTGTCCGCGCTGAACCCGAAGGGCAGTGATGTGTGGACTTGGGCACATGGGCACAGGAAGGAAAGCAAGCTGGGGGGTCTATGGAGACCCTTAAGGTTTGGAGCATCCAGACTGGGTCTTGGGTGTGCAGGCAGGGCACAGGAAGGAGAGGGGCCTGGCCAGGGCAGATGCAAAGGCCAAGTCAAGGGCAGAGCACATGAGTGTGTGCGGGGGACATGGGTTGCCAGATGCAGGAGGAGGTGTTGGAGGAGGCCTCCGTGTGGCTGCACGTGGGCTCTGGGGCATTTGGTCAATCCCAGGCCTGCCTGACCAGCTGCCCCTGTGCCAATTCCACAGGCCCCAATCCCTATGTTTTGCTGGACTCTTCCCTGGCATCTGCTTTAGGCTTCCCTGGGCCATAAGGGAGGAGGCTTCACTGAGAAGGCCCCTCTGGGAGAAACCCGAGACAGCCCCGAGTCACGTGACCAGCCCTGCACACCTGGATGGTGGGGCACAAGGACTCAAGCCCAGTCTAAGGGATGGTGCCTCATCCAGGAGGCTCAAGGTGGGCAGGGAGTGGGGGTCTGGCCCCCACCACCTCCAGGGCTCAGGGGCTGGTCCCTGCGCAGGACCCACAGCAGAAGGAAGCCTGGGGAGCTGCTGAGACCAGGTGGCTGTCTCCAGGAAACAGTCTGGCATGTCTCCTGCCTCTGGGGTAGCCCTCAAGGCTGGGACCCCATGCCTGCCAGCCCAGGAGGGCACCAGGGGATGCACCACGAGGCTGAGCAGGTGAGCCTGAGCAACTTGTGCAGATGAGGGCTTCCTGTGCAGGTGTCCCTGTCTGCCTGCGGCCAGGCCAGGGCCCCTCCACCGTTGGGTCTGGCCCTCGCTGTGTTTCAGGGAGGCGAAGCCAGGAGGGGAAGTGGGGGGTGGCACTGGGTCTGCGAGCAAGTGTGTGCATCTGTCTGCCAGGATCGCCACTCTGGGCGTGTGCAGGAGACCAGGGAGGCCCCCAGTGTCTCAGGAAACGGCAGCTGATTTCCTGTCCCTGAATCTGACACATTAACGTCTCTGAGCAGTGGAATGACTGACAAGTGAGCCGCCCCCTCTTCCCCAGGCCCCGCACTTCCCCATCCAGACCTACTCAAGCCTTAAATGAGCTACCTGGGGGAGCCAAGGGGAGGCCGGAGAGGCTGGGCTCTGAGCACGGCAGAGGTTGGGTCCCTGGCACCCACCCTGGGGGTCCTTCCCCAAGGACAGATGGAGCCATCTGACGCTCTGCCTCCTGCCCCTGGGCTCCCTGAGATGATGTCAGTTGGGGGCTCGTGAAGGGGCCTCGGCTGCCCCCAGTGTCCTGTGTCCCTTGTTGGCTCCGACCTCAGTTCCCCATCTGTGTTTGGGAATGCTGACAAATACTCTCCACTTCCCCATCTGGACACAAGTCTTCTTGGATCCCCCAGAACCCCAAGTGAGAGAGAAGCGGGGAAGAAGGGCTGGACTCAGCCCCTCCTTCGGGCTGGCCCCTGTTCCCTGCAGTCCGGGTCAGTTTCACGTTCCCGGGAGTGGCTGCCAGAGCCCACAGCACTCTCCTTCCACCTTGGGCTCTGGGAGAGTCTGGTGGCCTCTGAGGACGGAGATATATGGATCTAGTATTGTTCCTGACCAGAGAAACTTGAGCTTCCTTCCTACCACCCCCAAAGTCACCTTTGGGGAGGGCAGGCGGGGACCGAGCTGGGTGAGCTGTGTCTGGTGTTGCTCTCGGTTGGCGTCCAGCCCTGGGCTCCAAGTCTGGGTCCAGGCCCCTCCCTCCCTCTTCCCTGCCCACTCCCTGGGTCCCTGGTCAGCTCCGATTGCTCCTGGCTTGGGAGAAGTCCAGGTGCCTTGTGGCAGCCTTCACCGGTGTCAGTTACTCCTGCTTCCCTGGTGCTCACGTGGCCTCAGCCACCCTGAGATGAGGCATCCTAACCTGGCAGAGGGTCAGGGAGGAAGGCTGAGTTACTGTGGTAGGGGGTGGGGAGAGGGGATGACTGGCAGGGCACAAGCCAACCTCCTCTTCCTCAGAACAAATCCAGGAAGCGCTGCCCAGTGACCCTTCCGGGCACAGGCTGGCACCTGCCAGAATGTGGAGTAGCAGGGAAATAAAATTCCCTGGGACCACCGTGAAAGACAACTAAGCCACTGACTGACCAAAGTAAGCCCCAGAGAGTTCTGTGGACAGCAGGGTTGTTGCGACCTGCCCTCATGGGTACAGAGTGCCCTTCTGGGAACATTACCGAGATGGGGGAGATAGAGGCCACCTCCCCATGCCTCATGGCTACTTAGGGTCCAGCCTGGCTCTGTCTGACCCAGAGGGTTTGCCTTGATCTTCGCTTCTTTTTTGAGGCAGAGTCTTGATCTATTGCCCAGGCTGTAATCTCCGTTGACTGCAAATTCTACGGGGTGCAACTGATTCTGCCTCAGCCTCCCAAGTAGCTGGAATTATAGGTGCCCGCCACCATGCCTGGCTAATTTTTGTATTTTTAGTAGAGATGGGGTTTCACCATGTTGGCCAGGCTGGTCTTGAACTCTTGACCTCAGGTGATCCGCCTGCCTCAGCCTCCCACAGTGCTGGGACTTGCTCTTAACTTTGCAGCACCAGGGCATCCCTGAGGAAGTGCCAGGAAGAGCAGGAGAAGCTAAGGCCAGGAGCGGAAGGACTTGGGGAGTTGTGAAGCCTGGAGCTGTGTGCCCACTCCAGATTCTGGCTCCAGGGAGCCCGGACCCTGAAGCAGGGAAGACCCACACCCAGGATGTGGATCAGGACACGTCAGACACTCTGGGGGCCAAGGGGAGCCGTCTACTGGTGCCATGCAAGGCCTCCTGCAAACTCTCAGCCACGGAGGAGCTGACTGGACACGATGGCTTGCTAGGTTCTCCTCCTCTAGGCTGTTCTGGATCAGGCTGGTGCTCACCAGTCATTCCACAAAGACTGAGCAGTGACAGAGCTCTGCCTGCAGGTGGGCACCGCCACCATCCCATTATCATAACTTTAAGTGACGATAAGTGTTAAGAAGACCAGCTAGGTACCGTGCTCACGCCTATAATCCTAGCACTTTGGGAGGCCAAGGCAGGCGGATCACTTGAAGTCAGAAGTTCAAGACCAGCCTGGCCAACATGGCAAAATGCCATCTCTACTGAAAAATACAAAAATTAGCCTGGCACGGTGGCATGCGCCTATAATCCAGCTACTCGGGAGGCTGAGG